GCAAATCAGGGTTGACGTGTGTGGAAACTCTTCAGGAAAAACGTTAGTCAATGTTGTAAGTCTAAGCAGAGCGTCGCGAGGATTCAATGCTGAAGCTGTGACACTGTTATTGTATATCCGAACGAACTGAAATGGTCACAGTCTTCTCCGCTTGCATGCTATTCGTTTCTATCGTGTTTTTTTTGCAACCTTTCGCACTGTAGAAGTATTTTTCTCATAGTCGCGAAAGATTTTTTGAAGGATTTGTTGACGCTTTTATTTTTTTGACGATTTTTTGATGCTCAAAAATTTGATCCCACATCGAAGCATGGAAAAATTTGGACCTCAATTCGGTTTGGACATAGAATTGCGGAACTAACCCGAATCATTTCCATTCGGCAACGAGATCTGCAGTCAAATTCGCTATCCTCGTCGTCTTCCACATCACGACAGGCTTTCCCCGGCTCATCATTCTCTAGCATTTGATAGTGCGCTCGAACTTCTACAGTAACTTCATGTCGCTGACCAGGGCACAGCTAAACAAAGTCCTCATTTATTAATTATGTACAAATGCAAAATCAAATCAGGCAATTTTCGTTTGCAAAAACTGAGTTGCACAGTTCATTCCTCATGAAAAATGGCTTTGTTATTTCCTACCTCAAATGTGAATCCATCTCTCGCTCTTCCTTTACCTTCCATGAATCGATTGAGTGATGAGGGACGTCCGTGGAAGTCTACACTCATACATTCGGTATGTTCGCCCTCGAGATTTTCGGCATTGTGCGACAAAAGCATAGTGAAGAAGTTGCCCTATAAATACTTTTGTTGAGTTATTTTTGAGGGAAATTCTGTGCATTTAGCTGTGTAATGAAGTTTGTTAGACTTTTTCCGTTACTGCCGCAAAGCATTTGACGGACAGACAAGTCACTTCAAATTGATTTGACTTCCTGCTGCTTTTTTCCTTTCATTGTCTTATCCTATCAAATTTGTCCGTAACGGCGATCAAAAGTCGTGTGGTATAAATTTTTTTGGTCAGACTATTTAGCAAAATTGTCAGTCTTTACAAGTCATTTTTTGAGGGCACATAGCATAAAAAAAACAGATTCTCTATGTGTCCTGGAGTCATTTGTAATTTATATTGTGAGCCTGCACACAATGTGCAGCAGCCGACGACGTCCTTGCTAGTCACTCCTCGTAAAAGCCTCTCCTAGAGTAACACTAGAAATGTGTACCACTAACTAACATATCCAATCGAATCAAAGAGACAAGAAAACAAGAAATCACTAGCAATGGTCAGTTTCTAATCTTACGAGTCGTAAACTAGCGCGCATCGTGTGCAATACGCATATTAAGATACGTGACTCGACGATAAATGATTTTGATGCTGCAATTCTTCCCATCCCCCTCTCCTGAATTTTTTGTGTTAATTATCTTTCACTGCTTACTGATGCGGTGCTTTTTTGTACGATGCAGAGAGAATCAACGTTAGTACAAAAACCTGATTCGTTGTGCTGTGCTTGAATCTAATTATACTGACCTGATCTTCAATATCGTAGAAATTATCGGT